AGCTCTGAGTAAGTTTATTTACCAGGAGAGTAAATCTGGGAAATTTCTCCTACACTATTTGAATGTGGGTATGCAGTATGAACTCTTCATCCTCAGAGAACTAGAGGAGATTAATAAAACAAGCAGTAGAAGTGTTTAACACAAAGTTAAAACTGCCTTCATTCTTCTGTAACTTATACCTCCATACAGCTCCTCAGCATGTGAAGGAACAGGAACAGGAAAGAAAATAGAAATTCAGGAGCATGAAGAGGGAAAGGGCTGGTTTACTGAAATACATACAATATATTTTCCTGCTGGACTTGAGCTGCTGCAGGATGCCAGTAGTTCTGTTTCATCTCAACTTTGAGATCTTATTTAGGTTTTTCATGATTGCAAGTAACCTTGTTACTTAGAATAAGTGTTAAACAGAGCTTCTTAAATTGCAGAAAGTCTACAACACCAGTAGTGTGCAAACCATTTAGTAGGTAGGTATAGGCATAGGGAGGGCTATGGGACATACATATTATATTACACACCACTTCTGAATTTGTCCCCTTTTTTCCTTAATCGTGTGGACTGCTTACAGCTCAGATATATTTTTGAGCCATAACATTCTCCCTAGTTCTTTATCCCTTCCTCCCCAAAAGCACTGTATCCTGGACACCAGGGTTGGCCAGACCAAACTTATAAATCAAGGAAACCACCTAGAACTAGGGCTATACAACTTGAGTGATAGGGGCCACAGATTCCCCAGCCACTTGGTGCATGGCCACACACATCTTGGGCCCAACATAGCATGAGCCCTTCTCTTCCCAGCCCCATACCACATACTGCAAGCCACCCCTTCAGCACTCTTGCTCCCCCTCTGCACATGCAAGGCCTTCTCTGCTGCACCACATGGGCCCCCAATGCATTGCATGAGCCTCCTCTCCCCTTCCCTGACCATACCACAAAGGTCCCTGCACAGGATCCCTAGGTCCCTTCAAGTCCCCTGATCATGGACTGCATGGATTCCACAGGCTGCACCACTCTGCCCAGCCCCTAGGAGCAAGAGCATACAGCAGAAGCTGGAGGAGGGAAGGGGAGACTGTGAACTCTAGTGGCAGCAGCAAGAGAGCAAAGGAGGAGTGGTGCTGGGACCAAGAGTCCAGGGGCCTCAGGTTAACTGCTTGGGGCTCAGATATGACCCATGGGCCACCAATTGGATAGCTCTGCATTTGAGTATGTTATTAAGTGCAATAAATGCTCCAGCGCTACTACCTTGTCTCCTCTTTTCCAGAAAGATTCCTGTCTCTGAAACAGTGCCACAAAAATAAAGACACCATTTTTCACTGCTAGACGTTGCAAGTAGTGTGGACACAGTGTAGGCAAACTACTTCTCATTCTCTCATTCTCTATTTTTGTTTCCAAAATGTAATAGAGGGTTGATTTTAGCAGGCTCTGCATTTATCTCTTTGCCTATTTTTTCTCCTCTCATGTGTTTTAAGAAAATACAGTCTTTGTTTGATTAGGCATGATTATTGTGAGGGAGAACTATGGCTTTGGAAGAAAGAAACAATAGCAGTTAGAACCTGGAAATGAATCCAGTCTATGATTTACTCCATGTTTCTAGTAAGGCTTTATTAGTGAATGGTGACTTTGTAAGGACAATATTTATACACTAGGAACTGGACTGAGATTACCAGAATCTACTGAGCTAGCATGAGATGGTAATACAGACTTTGGTCAATACAGACTTCAGAAGCATTTGTTTTAGTAGCCTAGAGCCCAGGTTTTCTTTTTGCATTACCGTATGAGGGAATAAACTGGGTCTTAAGTGTTCAATATATGCTTTGTGTGAAGTCACAGCACCCATCAGTGAGAGATTTTATACAGGACCCAAACAAGCTGCTTCATGCTAGCAGTTATCCCTATCTCTGCTGCTAACCTGTCAGCTTTGAGAGAAAAAACTTTCAGCCAATAACACAATGGAATGCACAGAGGTTATACGTTTTGCAAATACAGTGCAGCCATCCTCCAACTATTTGTAAGAGATGACGAAGATGCAGGGAAAGGTGGAAAAAAAGGTGCTGGGTTACCCCAAGTTGGAAAGCATACATTTTAGGACCAGTCTAGACAGAGTTTGGATTTAATTATGGTTTTGCAGTGACTGTTGACAACTTTGGAAAAAACTGAGGAAAAGAGGCACAGACTTAAAGTTGGTAGCTGTGAGTAAAGTGCTATAGTTCCCAGTTAACAGCACCATTTTTAAGGAAAGCCTGATTGTGGCAAATTGAGCGTGACCAAAAAACGTGCATTATGGAAGTGACAGTTGAGAGAGACACTCAACCATTTTCTTCCCTCTCTTCAGGCATAGCCATACCGGAACATGCTTGAGCATCCAGAAACTTGGTAGAATAACTACATCGTATACAGTGAGTCTATATATAAAGCTGCTTCCTTCTGTGTTCAAACTGATGCTGCCACTGTTTTTTGTTCTTAAAGATGAGGAGAATGAAGGAAAGAAGGGGTGGGGGTGAGGAGAGTAAGATGGGAATTAAAGTGGAAGGAATGGCAAGGTCATGTCCTAATTTTCTTTCTTATCTGACCCTGCTTATACTGCTGGATACGAATAAGGGTGTATGGCACCTACTTAATCTCATTAAAGCCAGATTAGTTTCACTGTGCTCTATAACCTACTCACTTTATATCTTGTTCTTTCAGAGCAGCTCTATCATTCCATAACTCTGATGCAGCACAACTGAATTTTAGTTTGCATCCTTTGTTTCCTCATAAAAAACAAACAAAACAAATAGTTCATGTAGCAATTTGACATTGCTTCATAGGGATCCTTATAATAAATGAAGCAAAAACAAACTTGGTTGGAACATGCTTTGTAAACCACATTCAAAGTAAGAGTGATAGCTCTGCATACATCAAAATAGCTATGCTTAAAATAGTCAGACTCTCTCAGTAGGTCCAGAACTGATATTTTTTTAACCAAACAGTTTTTTTCTCAATCAACAGAGTTATGCAGGTCAACACACACAGCACAGATGCAACACAGTTTACTTAAAAACTGCATTATAAGTGGTACAAAGAGGTACTACAACATTTTGTTATTTATGTACTTTATACCTCTGTCCATATAGATTGGCTCCTCTGATGCAATATAGTTTACTGTGCATATAGTTCAGAGTTATTCCCCATTTACAGTGGTATAACTGTCATCACAGTCTGACAAAATGTTAAAAAGAATATTCACTATTTTCTTTTTGAAAATTTCACATTTTTAAAGTAAAATCTGTGGTAAAGAAACTCTAGAAATTAAATTCTTGGTAGAGTTGTTTTACCTGGTACATAACACCTGTCATACTATACCTGGGACAATTTGAAAAACAAATAACTAAAGTGTGGGCCACTCTGTCAAATCATAAATTTGTGTGCTAGCGCACAGACAGAGATATTCTGGAGCACCTCTGAAGGTTAAAGTCTTTATACAACTGGTTCACTGTGAAGACAGGGCAATATTTTGGCCTCAAGATGTCCTTTACAACAGGTATTAAATAGGCATTAACATAAAGCAATGATAGTACAGACTTGCAATACACAGAATGGGGCTGAACAATGTGCTAAAATATTTAACTACTGACTTTTAGGGGTAGTTCAGAAGGATGCATGTAAACTACCTAAATACCATGGATGATCTGTCATTTTGCCAGCTGAGAGCAAATGACATGTGTGTCCTCAAAGCCACATGTGGAGGGAAGGAGGGGAGGGACAGGTGGGAAATCTCTTCAGTGGATAAGCACTATCCTGTCAACTTTTTCCAGTAGGACCTTGGTAATACTATATAATTGTGATCAAGCATTAAGGGGCTATCTTATAGGTTGTGCATGGATTATAGAAACTTTTATGATGTACACCCTTAACCTGGGTGCCTTGAGGGGCCATGATCACAAGCCTGTGATTGTAAAACCAATACAGGGGTGGGGAAGGGCTCCGCCTCCAGTAGCAAGGATGCCAGTAGTTTCTTTTCTAGAAAGGAAATGGGAATGTATTTAGCTCTACTCTTGTGACCTGGGCAGATTAAAGAGCAGGTTGTTTGCAGGCAGCCTTTGTGTGAGTGGGTGAGGGAAACCAACTGAAGGGTGGCCTGAAGATCCATAGCATCTTTGCCAGCCAGGAAAAGCTGCTGGGGAGAGTTCAGCAAATCATCATCCATACCAGAGTGTTTCTGGAGGCCAACCAGGGTGCTACATATGTCCCTACTAGGTCAAAGTATAAAGCAGGGGCACCCCAGAGGCACATGCTTCATTGACACCAGGGTTCAAATTTCACTTTATCTCTTGTGGGAGGATAAGGGGATCTGCAAAAAAAATCGGGCTGTCCATCATGATGCCCTAATAAAACCAGAGCCCCCCCCCCGGTTATGCTTTTTAAATCTTACAGGGGGGTCTTGTCTCTTATGGGGGGCTCAACCCCCTCCCCTCCAGCTCCCTTGTCATTCAAAGCCTGATTAACACTGCCCCTGCTCAGAGAAGCCCCCCTCCTCCATGTCACACTGCTCTCCTCATATAGCAGGGACACCAGGAAAAGGAGGTGGCGGCAGGGGAAGCTAACAGGTATTAGGTGACAGAGCAGGCACCTGAAGGCCAAGTGACTGGTGGTGGAGCAAAGTCCAAGGGAGGCAGCCGGGCTGGGCTTGGTTTAGGGTTAGCAGATGCCAATGAACACATCAAACACCTGAAGGGTGATTAGAGAGAGCTGCTGGAATAGGGGCAAAGAGGACTGGGCAATGAGGAGGATCTTTCTGATGGCCTGGGGGTCAGGGACTGGAGCTGGCTGCCTAGAGAGTGGGGAGTCTCCAGCCCTGGCAGCTCTGAGGAGCAGGGCAGGCCGTCTTGGCTGGCACGGTCCAGTCAGGCAGGGGCTGCATGAGCTGACCCAGCCTGGGATCCTGAATGCGGCCACCGCGGAGGGGGCAGAGAGGCGGCAGGAAGCCTTGGGAGGGAGAGAGGGAGGGGAGCGCGCAGCCTTACCATCTCCTGCTTGAGGAGGTGAACTTTGGTCTCCAGCCTCTCCAGGGCGCTGGAGCTGAGCCTGGCGGCGCCGGGACCCGCGGCCGCAGCCGGGGCGAGGCGGTCGCGGT